GATTGTGTGACTCCACAAGTAGACGTTTCCTTGTTTGGATCGTTGTCCTTGCTTGCTGTCCTGGGCGTTTTAATTTCCCCCCGGTGAAGGAGGCACAGCAGTGACCTCCTCTAGAGAAGCCTCCTTGACCGTGAGCTGGATAGAAATTGGCGGAGCTTCCAGATACGCTTCTGAGGTTGCTGTGTTTTGTAGGGCCTCAAGCCTGAAGCCGGCTTTCTACGTGCTTTCTGTGCTGAGAGAAGCCTTCAAGATTCTTTCTGATGCCCCAGACCCCGAGGAGACGTTCCTGCAACTGGACAAGACTGACTGGACTTACTCCGGGCCACTCTTGCCTTCTGGCTCCCCCAGAGCCAAGCGCCAGAAGATACATAATGTTGCTGTCCAATGTGAGGTCAACCCGAAGGCGAACGGCTCCCCGTCCTCTCTAGGTGACATGCAGGTTGGAAAAGAGAAGCATTTCAAGCATTCCCCTGCAAGGCCTTTGGCCATGAAGCCCCTTATGACTTTGGAGGTCCAGTCATCAGAGTGTGAAGAGATCCTTCCAAATGCCTTGCCCCCAGGTTCCAGGTATGGAGGACTCCGTTTGGGTCTCTTTTAGGAGTGGTGGCAAAGCTGCAGTCTTGGAAATGCCGGCACTGAGTGCCTGTTCTTGCAGATCTCCTGGGGAATTTGCAGGGTTTGGCCATCGCCACTTCCCTAAAGGGGGAGGGATGTGCCCAAGCAGAGCTATTCCACTTTGGCTGAGGATCAGGATGATTGAAGGAACTTATTTTTGAACTCCTGTTGTGATTTGGGATAAGAACAACTTCCCCTGGATGTTTGCACCTCTGTGGCTGAAAGCGTTTTGATGCTCTCAGAGCCCAGGAGGGGCTTACCTGTAACGGGGATTTCTTTTCTGCTTCAGGAAGGCCAAGCAAGCAGCTCTTTCGGTTCTGCAGGAAGAGAAGGAATCCTGGAGCGATGAGGACGAGATCTTCATGGACCAGCGTGAGTGGAGGCTTCTGGGAAGAGCTGGGCCTTGTGGGTCTCAAGTTTGGAGCCTCAGCCTTATTTCCTCTAAGCCAGCAAAAAGGCCGCCTTGGCCAGGAGCCGCCTGCTTATTGGGGAGAGTGTGGGGGAATGGAGGCTGCCAAAGGGGGACAGCTAAAGCCTTAGAGAGGCAGAAGGGGAGTCCTTCAAAGGAGTGGGGCAGCCTCTCTGCACCTGGAAGGCAACACTCATCTCTCTTGCGTTTCTGGTGGTGTGTTTTCCTGGCAAAACCACCTGAAATCCGAGTCAGGAAGGCAGAAGCACTGGGGCTGTGTATAGCAGAAATAATCCCCAGGTAAGAGTTGTGCCTTTCAACCTCTGCAAAGGTGCTAATTTCTTTTTCATTCTTTTCAGAATCAGAGTCGTCAGTTGGTACCAGCACTTCTGGCTCTAAGAAGAAGGTAAATGTAACCTAACCCAAGCAGAGACTTTTTTAAATAAGACAAATTGCTCATTTCGTCTTTCTAAAAATAATCGGACAATCTAGATCAGTGGTCACCAACCGGTGGGCCGTGATAAAATTTTGGTGGGCCGCAGAGAAATGTCCCCCCAAAGAACCCCCCCCCCCAAAAGCCTGCCCACCCACTGGCTCCTACCCTTCGTTTGAGTGCAAACCTGCAAAAAGCAGCGCGCCCCATGCGGGGCAGGACGAGGTAATAGTGCTATTGCAGCAAGAGGGGGCTGGCGGCACAGGTGGGCTGAAGCGGCAATGGAGATGGCTGGAAGGTGCAAGAACGCTGCACTGTTGGCCTTTGTGCAGCACTCCCGCACCTTCCAGTTAGCCTCTCCTGGCCTGGACTCTTCCTCAATGGCCGCGGGCTGTAGGGACGGCCCGAGGCAGGAAAAGTACTGGCTGCTGGTGGTGGTGGGAGGGGGCGGAGTGGGCAAGTCTGCACTCACCATCCAGTTCAGAGGTCTGGAATGGGGCGGCGGGGGCGGCACCAGTTCCCTCGGCGCTCTGCTCTGCTGCCCCCCCTCCACGGCCCCAGCCATCGCTGTCCAGGGAAAGCACAAGAAAAGCAAGCAGCAGCATAGCTCTTGCTGGGGCTAAAGAGCTGAGATCGAGGAAGGCGCACGCAAGAGAAGGTGGAAGCTGCCGCCTTTGAAAAGTGCTCCTTTCTGTTGCCTGTGCCTTCCGATCTCTGCTCTTTCACCCCAGCGAGTGCTGTTTCTGCTTGCTTGCTTTTCCTTTGGGGCGGGGGCGGGGGGGGGCAGCAGAGATGTCAGGGCTGCTGTTCCCCCTCAGCAAGGCAGGCCTGGAGGAATGCGAAGGATTGCGAGCGCGTGCCGGGGAAAGGTGCGTTGGAAAAGGCAACACGTTTCCAGTGTGCTCTGCTCTGTCCCAAAGTAAGATTGAGTGGGGGGAAGGGTAGGAGGGAAGGAGAAGCCCGGCTGGCTTTCCTTTGGCATTGGATGGGGGCGGGGTGGGGGGGGAGAGACCAAATGCCCAGACCAAAAGAGCACTGAGGAAGACGGGCCAGCTTTTCTGGACTTGACATCCTCCCCCCCCCCCCCCTTCATCCTCCACCCAGGGAAGGATCCCTCTCTGCTTGGAAGCAGCGGGAGAAACCTGGAGCTTGGCGTCGGGGAGCCCTTCCTATGAGGCTGAAGTGGGGGGGGCGGGGGGGGGGGTGTTGCCTAGTTATTAGGAGCCCGGCCCTCCTTCCCTCCCCCAATTCCAGGCAGCCACACCTGGCAAAGGAGGGAGAGGTTTCTTCTGACTTGGGGGAGATACGAGATGGCGCTGCTTTTCTTCCTTTGAGGGGGAGCCGTGGCTTCTTAAATCCTCTTCCCCACCCCCCAGGATGAGAGAGGCCCCCATTTCCCTTGGCTCTGCCCCAGTTACGATTAAGCATTTACAATTTTGTTATAATTAAATAAGCATTTGTGTGTCTGTGTACAAAATAAAAATTATTTTTTAATATTAAATTTATATTTCATATAAAAAATAAAAATTTATATTAAATATATTGTTTTTTTAAAAAAATGTATTAGTGGTCCTTGGGATTTAAAATTACAAGTTTGGTGGTCCGAGGTCAAAAGGTTGGTGACCCCTGATCTAGATAGTTATTGCCACTGATAGGGCAGGAATGTGGGAAATGGTTGCTGAGGGGCTTCTCTGCTGTGGCCGCTGCAGTTTCAAGCCTTTTCAGCCTCCCGCAGAATTGGCAAAGCTAGTATCATCTCCACATAGACTAAGGTTTTGTTTTGGCCAATATAAAGTTAAAACTGTTATGGGTACATAGAGTTCCCTGGGAATCTTTTTCTTTTTCATTTTCTACATTTTTATTAATTTTTCTTCAGCAGGATTAAGCTGCAAATGAGGTTTGCCAATCTTGCTTATTCATGAGGTTTTCCATTATTTCTTTTGCAGTGGTCCTCAAAAGAGACTATGTGGATCAAGAAAGGTGTAGAGAAATTTGGGGAAGGAAACTGGAAAGTTATTTCTCAAAATTATCCTTTTAAGGATCGCACCCCTGTGATGATCAAGGACCGCTGGAGAACAATGAAAAAGTTGGAATTGAAGTGAATGTGAGGGCAGACTCTGCCTTAAATGTGTTGGGTTGTTGTGCTGTAGATGTGTTGAATTGACTGTTGCCATGCCTTTAATATGTTATGTACATTAAAGAATAAAACATTTTGTATTGAGTAATTTGCAGTATAAGGGCAGCTTGTTTTACAGCAATCGACATTAGTCAACAGCAAATTCAGCATCATAAAACAACTGCAGACCAACATAATCAAAGCAAGAGAATAAATGTCAAAACCTCATAGAGAATATGGCAGCGATTATGAAACCAACATAAAACCGGGCCTTCCAGCAAAAGGTTTGTGTGATGCGAGAGGGCTGGTCGATGTGCTTCACCTTCCCGCAAGAGGCCCGAGGGACCAGAGGGGAGGCGTCCCCCCCTTGCTGGCTGGATCTTATATCTGCTGGGAGGCTGCGGGTGTATCGTCCACTATGGAAAAGGGGTTCAAGCCGGAGCCCATCAAGATGGGCGGCACGTTGTTTTCTTCCTCCCGGGATACACAGGGGCTGAGTGGCATTTCCCAGGCCCTGCAGCAATGGGACACCGCTTGGCCCAGGATCGCCACCGCTCGAGGAGGCCGCCTTCCCGGCTGAGGTCCACGCGCGGCCAAGCCAGGCGAGCGCCTTTGCGGAGGGTTCCCATCCCTGGGCTGAATGTGGGCGGGCCTTCCGCCCGGCGACCCTGGGGGGGGCAGGGGGGGGTCCGAGGCGGCCTCAGGCGCTCAGTGCGCTTGCGCCCCAGAGCCCCCGCGAAGCACTCTGGGAGAGGCGCTCCCGCGGCGGGAGGAGGAAAGCTTCCGGCCGGCCTTCCGGCGCGCGGGGGGCCTCGCTAGGGCGGGAATGGCCGCGGCGGCCGAGGAGGCGGCGGAGGCGCGCAGGATGGAGCTGGAGGCGGAGGCGAACCGCTGGGCCGTCCTCTTCTACGCCCACCAGGCCTTGCGGGCTTTCCGGGCCGGGAACAGCCAGGACTTTCGGGAGCTGCGCGACGTCCTCGCCGGTAGGCCCATCGCCCCGGGAGGCCGGTCGCGGGGGAGGCCGGCGGCGAGGGGTCAGCCGCGGGGATCCCGCCCAGACATCCGGGCGGGCTCCGGGGCCTGCGTGCGGGAGCGCTTGACCGCCTCTGCCTTGTTCCCCAGCCGTCCTGGCGCGGCCGGTGGCCCTGGAGGAGCCGCTCCGGATCCAGCTGCGGATTATCCAGATCCTGTCCAGGCTGGAGGAAGGTGAGCGGGGGCGCAGCCCCTCTTTGCCCGGGAACGCTGGGCCG